GCTCCTCTCGGGATCTTGGGCACGCACGCACATGCGCCCAGCGTGTTTTAAGCCACTGGGTCCGGGACACGAACCGCGGTCAACTACGTGGGAGTCCAGCGACATAGCCATTACACTAACTGCTGGTTCCCCTCGTGGTAACTTCTTGAAGTCAGGCAAGGAGCAGAAGCAGATCAGTAATCACAGCTGTGAGAGTGGTCACAAAGTTACACAACAAAGATATGGAATAAGGCATCCTAAATTTTCTTCTCGCCCTTCACGTTAAAAAAGGAACCAAGAAAAAAAGAATAATTTATCTCATATTTTTGTAGAGAATTATTTAATTTTATACATTATTATTGTTGTTTCTAATTTGACTAGAGAGAAAGGGAAAGAAGAAAGCAAGCCACTAGGTCCAAGTCTCAAATCGTGGTTGGCCATATGGGAGTCTAATGCCTTAACCACCATGCCACCTGCTGACCCTTTACCCCACATTTTTATTACTATTATTATCATTATTTCTTTGTCTCCAGTGGAGACATTTTTAAGGGAGGATGCTTGTTGCTATTGGGTAGTGTACTTTACTCTGAAATCCTCAATTACAAGATTTACTAGTAAATAGAATTTCAACAAAATATATAAATATGTGCATGTCTAAATGTCTAATTCCAACATACTGATCCTTCTCTACCAGAAAAATTAGATCATGCTACTTTTATATAAATAAGCATAGATATTACTAGTCAATAAAAAGCACAATTAACACATGGATTTATATTTCTGATTTGTGAGAAAATAACACAAATACTAACATATACCTGGGAGAATTTATATTACTTATGAGGGTGATTTTATTTCTTTCGATGCCTTTTCCCTTGGAATTCTTTTTATACCAAAGAAATGATCTCAATAAGTTCTGGAAAAAGCACACAACATAAACCATTACAAGTTTAATGGCCATCAGGTACCCATGAAAACCACATTATGGAAGCCTGACAAGGAAATCACTATTTCTTAAACACAGGCTTTGTTTTTACCTAATGGGCTATACAAAGGAGGAAAAAAACAGTGGGGAAAAAAGAAAACTATTTCCACATTCTATGTTTCTAGAAGCAAAGTTCCTATGATTTCAACCTTGGTACTTTGATTATTGTAGCACACTGGGATTCAAACAGGTCAAAACATTATTTTAGGAAAACAAATAAGGGAGAAAAAAATATGGCACTCCCCTTTTAAAGGAGTCACGTAAATTCCCACATTGGGCCCCCAGTGACAGGTAAGTGCGAGTAAAGCAACCCTGAGTATTTGATTGACTGTCCAAGGAGTTCTGGGCTCCATTCATATCCCCTGCTTTCTCTCTTGAAGTCCAGGGAAGCGCTGTGGCAGCAGTGTGCCATCCAGATCACTCACGCCATCCAATATGTGGTAGAGTTCGCAAAGCGGATAACAGGCTTCATGGAGCTCTGTCAAAATGATCAGATTCTACTTCTGAAGTCAGGTGAGCAAGGAGAAGATTCATGGGGGGCCTATTTTAGGCCAGAATGTGGTCGACCCTTAGCTCTTTTGTTGGTTCTAGAAAATCCTCCTTCCAATATGTAGCTCGTTTTTTACCACCCACATTGTCAGCCAATCCCCAAAGGAAACTCTCAGTAATAAAAATGCCCTGATACTCATTCAGTTCCCCTTTGAAGTCAAATACAATTTTGCTTATTGAAAGTGGAGCTATTAATTGCGAAGGTTGAGATACCCAGCTTGACAGGCAGTGCAAGTAATTAGCGTGTCAAGGTGGCTGAATTGCTGAGCTGGCAATTCAAACGTACTCCTTGCCTTCTGCAGGGGAAAAAATGCAGGCTAGCTGAGCTCTGCCTCTGTGGTCATTTCCAATCATTTTAATGAGGATAGCCTGCAGCCAGTATGCACCAGGAGAAACTCCACGGTGCTCTAATCTTTCCCTCCCCTTCTCTCACAGACTCTCTGACAAACACACAATCGCTTAGGAAGCAGCTCAGGAAATTCTGCATACGATTGACATTGCAGATGCTATTATAAAACAGGGCAAGGAAAAAAAGAGAAAACTGCCTTTCTTGTTCCCCCACTTTAGACAGAGAAAATAAGAACATCATGGTGTTGATGTTCATCCCCATGGTCCTAAACCATCATAATAATAATAGCACATAAAGGTGCTTCAAAAAGTTCATGGAAAATGGAATTAACATACAACTTGGTGGTGCAAAAATAATTTTTTAAATCCATGCCTTTCTTAAAAATAATATGCACTTCCAATGAACTCTCTGAGGACCCCATATATCTATTATCTATGTATCTATATGTGCATGCACACACAAAATAACATATACATATATGTTACCTAGGCATCTCATTAAGTCTTATGAGATTAATATTATTATTTCCATCTCAGAGCAGAAGAGGCAAAGATTCAGAGAAGTGAAGGGCTGTATTCAACATCACTAAGATAATACATGGCAAAGTTTGCATTTAAACTTTGGCCAAGTGTACTTACTATTCTAAGATGTTTCTCTTCTTTTACAAATGATGCAAGTAGATGAAAACTCAAGCACTAACTTGATCTATCGGTTGCCTGAACAACCATAGAACTTAGTTAAAACAATAAAGATCAGTTTGTTTTTTATTATTATTAATTTTTAATTTGACCAGAGAGAGAGGGAAAGTGTGAAAAGCAAGCTGCCAGGTCTGGGACTCAAACCACAGTTGACCATGTGGTAATCCAGCACCTTAAATACCACACCACCTGCCAGTCCCCAAAGTCACTTCTTTTGCTCTTAAAGCTAGAATTAGGGCAGGGTTCAGCA